AATTGCTTGTGTTTCCAAACTTTCAAAGACTATCTTCTTAAAAATGGATTTCCAAAATCAGAAGACAATCCCTTCAGCAAATTTTGAATTATCTTAATGGAAAGTAAATGTACATTTTTCAAGACTAAGAGCCAAAAATGTCTTTGCCTAAAGGTATTCTGTTCAGTGTCTACATGTTAAGAGTTCACCTGCACCTATAGATCAGAATTACAAGTGCCCATCAGCAGCTATTTGGTCTTTACAAGAAAGGGGAAATTCAGTCAAGTGACCTGATGCTACGTGACAAACATCCATCATATAATACAAATGGGAGGGATACTCTCATTTCAAATAACAGCATCTTTCAAGCACCGTGAAGGCTGAAAATTTTGGATCCACTTGTCTGTGAAGAACAATTCTTTTGCAGTAAAGCATTCTCTTTGCAAAGCAAAGATGTGGTACAAACAGGGTTAAAAAAAATCTTAACACAGTGAATGAGAGTGTTCTGAATATACATAGGGTTTTTGTGTTTTTGGATTATTAATTCTTTATGATAGTGACAGAATATCCTAATAAATGCTAAGAAATCACATGGTTGCCATATCATTCAGTGGTGAATAACACAATGGTGATATAAATGTACCAGTTCTCTTAATTTTCATTTGTTATGGTTACTGTTGGTAAAATAGCTGAAACACAACCAAACTGATAATTTTGTACTGATAAAGTCAGAGCTGAGGTTACACTGTGTACTTTCATTCCCCATGGTAACCATTGTGAAGAATATGGTGGTGATTCATGTTAAAAATATAATGACTTTAATGTGAGGAGCATGGATGCTGCTGATGTTTTGCTATGTACATAAGTTGAAAGAGATTTATTGTAGTTTTATTGTTAAAATGGTTTGGAGAATTTTTTATCAAGTAAATACAGACTCATATGGGCAGTTATTGCAAATGTGGAAAAGTACTGGAAAACCCCTGTCAGAAGGATTCTCATTTTGGCGAGAAAAGGAGTGAAAAATAACAACACTCCCCCCACCCCCCACCCCC